ATCTGGGAGTCTTTTTAATCTTTCTTCTTTGAGTACACAAATTTGAGACTTGATCTAATACTTTGTCTTTAAAAAAAAAATCAGCTTTTATCCTGTGTTGTTTTTTTCTGATTGAAAAAAAAAAAAAAAACTATTTGAAGATCAAGCCTCTCTGTCTGTTCTGCAGAACAAACACAGTGACTTTTTGTGTTGTTGTTGGCTCCAGATTGTGGGCCTCTCTTTCATCTTCTGATAAATCTAGAGTTTTATGTTTTCCCTTCAATGGATGAGGTGAGAGAATCTTGCAGAGGATCCCCATGGGGATCTGGAGGAGGCCATGTTGCATAGAAAGACTTAAAACTCTTTGTATTTGAAAGCAGAAGGACAAGAAAGCAAGGTCACATTTTTCCATTCATCGTGTGTGTGCTGGACATCGTGCTAGGCTAAATGATATCTGATTAACCCACTCAACAACCCTGCCAGGAAAGTATGTATAATCTTAGTTTGACCCTACAGTAACTGAGGCAGAGTAGGTTTAGGTAAGAAGTCTACAGCTACACAGAGGACAGACAAGGTGGGGTTTTTATTAGGCATTCATTTGTTGCCCACTGATTCTAATCATTTTCATTTCTGCAACTGCCTCAGTTACCAGTTCTACAGCCACACAGACCAGCTTCAAGGTGGTACAGACTGATGGCCCCTCTATCAGACCTAAACTACCCATTACCCCTTCAACCCAGGCATCTCTGTGGTCTAGGGATGCCCTGCCTGTGTGACTTGGCCATGAGGCTGTGGGTAACTTTGCTGAAGGTGCATGGAGCTGGCCTTCAGAAGGGTTGCTTCTTTCTTTCCCAGGAACGTGGTCCCAAGGTTTATTCCATGTGACTTTTCAGATTGTGATACAGGATTGGGCAACGAGCCCCATGCTAGTGGTCAGCAAACCATGAGCATCTCGTACTGGCTCCTCCCTCCTTCTCTGCTTCACTCTTTGTCTTGCCTGCTCCCTGGGACCACATGTCCCAATAAAACCCTCACACATAAGCTTTGTCTCAGGCTCAGCTTTGTAGGAAACCCAGGCTGAAACAAAATTCAAACCCAAGCTCAGAATCCATGTTCTTTCTAATTGCCTAGCATTTCCCAAGCTTGGTCATCCTTTGTGTCCCTGGGGAAATTTAAATAATACAGATTTCTGCACCTTCCTCCAGATCTAGTGATTCACATCATCAAGGGAGTGCTAAAAATATATACTTGTTTTCATTTTGCTTTACTGTGTTTTATTTTATTGCCCCATAAACTCCAGAGATGATTCAGACACAGAATCAAGTCTCCTCATCCAGACCAGACTTTAATGGGTTCAGACAAGGTCTAAATCTAGGTCCTTCTCTTTGCTATACCCTTAATATCTAGCACTCTCTGGGATCATAGCAGACACACAAATAAAAATGCCTTGCCCTTTCCCTCCAACTCTTAAAAAAAGGTGTGTTGACATGAATTTAACTTAATGATGTCTTCATAGAAGAATACAAGATCTTGCTTCCATTGAAGAACAGTTTTTTTAGAAAAGTCAGAAAGTCCATCCTCCAAAATCTTTGTCCCTGGATCTGAATTACTTACCAGAATGCTAATCATTACCTCTGGCTTAATTCATTCCCCAAAGTTAGGAGCCCCATGAGAGGAGACCAAAGGGTGGGAAGTATAAGACATTGCATATTAATTCACTTCTTTGGTAGCATAAAGGCATCATAAATTTTTAATTCCCAGTCTCACAAAGAGCATGAGCTTAGAAATTAAAAACATATGCTTGAATGTCTAATCCATCACATAGAAACATTTCTGGGCTTTGGTTTTCTCAGTTGTCAAATGAGAATGAAAACATTTCATTGTTAGTGTAAGAATAAAATGAGGTTAATCTTAAAAAGTCCTTTAGAAGCCATAATCTGATCTACATATGTAAGGACTTTGCAGAAGAACTGAGAGTCGGTAAAACAGGTAATACATCTATATGGCCAAGTTATTTTGCTCTTCTAGAAATCTTGGATGTTTTTCTACCATTATGTTGCTTAATCTGAGAAGAAGCAGCCTGTGTGTTTTTACTCACTTTTTTTTTTTTTTTAACTTTGAAAATTAAGACCGGCCACAGTTTCCCAGCTGTCTACTGTGTTATCTCATACAGGGAAAGGATTAGGAATCTGTACCAGGAATTTTTGTAGGCCATTCTCTGATCACTTTCAGAAACACTTTAAAATGGTCTTCTGTATGCTTTTCTTAAAAAGCAGTTTTGTTTTTTAAGATGGCAATTTTGTTGAAAGCAGCATAATCTTGAAATGAAAAATATTTACTTAACCTTGACCATACAATGATTTGTATATCAGGAATCAGTGGCTCATCAGACAATCTGTAGTTGCACATTTTAATGGACAAAATTGTTAATTAGTCATTTATAGCAGGTGCAGCAACATTAAATCCACATGCAAGTTGTTTTTCTACCTTTCTTTAATACACAAATTGCCAACAACTTTAGCATTTTTATTCAGAAAAATACCTGTGAATTTCTTGCATCAATAAAATCATAATATTTATGCAGGGGACTTTGATTTATCATAATTCAATTCAATACACATTTACTGAACAGCTTTAGTGTGCCAAAGTCTGGGACACAATAGCTGAAAAAAATAACTGCTATAACCTTACATCTGTATAACAGTTGAAAACCCTTTAGTTTCTATGAATACGTAACCCAACTTATCCCTGACAACTGTCTTGAGAGTTAAACAATTGAAGTGTTATGCATGCTGTGTAGATAGAAAACTTAATGTGTAGGGCAGGAAGAATTAAAATCAATGGATCAAGTATGATATCTCAAATGCTGTTCTAGGCACTTAAGATGCTTAATTGTCTCAACAAACCTCCAGTGAAATTATTTTTACTATTCCCATTTTATTGAAGAGAAAAGTAAGTCTCAGTGAGATTCAAGTATTTGCCCAAGATCACACAATTAAAATAACCCCAGGCTATCTGATTCCAATGGTCAGCTGACTTTTTATGCCAATGGAAGTCATCAAAATGATGCATTAAAAGTGAGACAAAGAAAGCCACCAAACTCATTCAAATGCTACTCAGAAGCTGATCTGCTTCTGAAACAAACGCCCTTAGACTCCTGCCCCAACACTGGTCCCTCCCACCATGGAGATGTGATTGTCAGTTCTTTTGCTGTATTCTTTGGCATATTAAAACCTAGCTCATTTACATTACTAGTATCTGGCAAGGGCTCATTCATCACTCAATATCAATTCCATCCTCTCTCTAAAGAGCACAGAATCAGTTTTAATATAAAAATATTGTATAATTCATAGTCACTGCAAGGAGGTGTCATTCTTTGCAGAACAATCTGTCTCTGCTTATGCTGTAAGGGCTGAGAAGTGATGTCAAGGTCAAAAGACTTGGTGCTTGGTGTCCATGGACAAGCCACTTAACCTCTGTGAGTTCCAGTTTCCCCAGCAGTATACTGAAGTTACAGGACATCAAGATAATTTCTCAGAAATATGATTTTGCCTCTCGGAGTGACAGTCCCACATCTGCAACATAGGGGAGGGGGACAGTGACTAAACTAGGTCACCCTGAAATCTCACCCAAGAGCAAAGTGGAAAGAGTGCTGATAGAGAAATGGAGTGAACTGATAAGAGGAGATGGGGACACTCAAAAATTTATGCCAGCTCACTTAATAATTTGATCTAGCAATTTTTGTTCATACCAGCTGTCTTGGGCAAGTACAGGCTCTAAGGCTGAGGTTGCAAGTGTGTTCTAGGAATTGTGTGTAGCTCTGGATGACAGGGACACTCAAGGTGCCGTCCTGATCATGACATTGTATTTGTTTGCTAGGGATGACATAGCAAAATGCCCCAAAATGAGTGGCGCGGACCAACAGCAATTTCTTTCCTCACAGTTCTGGAGAATAGAAGTCTGAGGTTAGCCTAGCACAGTGGCTCACAACAGTGATCCCAGCACTTTGGGAGGCTGAGGTGAACGGATCATGAGCTCAGGAGTTTGAGACCAGCCTGGCCAACATGGTGAAACCCCATCTCTACTAAAAATACAAAAATCAGCCAGGTGTGGTGGCTCATGCCTGTAATCTCAGCTTCTCAAGAAGCTGAGGCAGGAGAATCACTTGAACCTGGGGGTCAGAGTTTGCAGTGAGCTGAGATCCCGCATTGCACTCCAGCCTGGGCAACAAGTATGAAACTCCTTCTCAAAAAAAAAAAAAAAAAAAAAAAAAAAAAAAAAAAGAAAAATAAATGTGAGGATGTGAGGTTAAGGTGTCGGCAGGGTTGTTTTCTTCCGCGGGTTTGCAGGCAGCTCTCTTCTACCTGTTTCACATGGTCTCTGTGTGCATCTGTATCCCAATCATCTCTTCTTATGAGGACCCTGGCCGTTGGATGAGAGCCCAGCCTAATGACCTCATTTAACACAAATCACCTCCTTAAAAACCCTATCTGTACACAGTCACATTCTGAGGTATTACAAGGGCTTCAACATGAATATTTGGAGGTCACAGTTTAGCACATAACAGTCATGTGACCTCCGAGGAGGAACTTGCTGAGTCTTCATTTCCTATTTCCAGGGTAATCATGATTAATCTGCAATCATGATTTTCAGATTAAAGTTGTGTCATCAAATTCACTATGTACTTTTAAAAAGCTAAATACAATAGATACAATAAAAATGACTTCTTTCTACGACTCAGGGTGGGCTGATAGAACCACATGCAAGCTCAGTGGATTTCTCTAGTATAAGCTTATCTCTCACTCCCTTTCCAGGACAGGTGGCTCTCCTTTAGGCCATAGTTCAGGAATTTAGCCTCCTTCCCCGTCTCGTGATAACCCCTTCTTGAAGACCTGTGATAGTCTTCAAGGAATAGCCTCCAGGATGTCCCTAGGAGGAGATGACAACATGAGAATGCCAGGGAGACCGGCACAGCCTCGCTTTTCATTGGCCCAAACTGTCTGTGTGGCCCACCTTGGGGCATGGTGCCTGAAAAAGAAGTCCCTGAGTGGGAGCCCTCTTCCCAGCAACAATTCTGCATTGTGGACAAGGAGGACAGGTATTTAGGGCAGGTATCATGTACATCAGTCAGGGCCCTCACAGGCAATGACAGACAGCAGGCAGGCCCAAACTGGATGCACAGAGCCTTTAAGAAAGGAATAATTTGCAAAAGGGTGGGCAGGTTTTGAGAAAAGCACACAAGGACATGAGTGGTGTGGAGTGGCCTCGCCATGTTTAGGCTTGAAAGAGCCAGGGAAAGGGTGGATCCCAGGACCCAGAGGAAAGAAAGGGCTGTGTAACAGGAAGAGTGAGCAGTCCCAGGTCAACACACACAGCCATCATGACCCTGCAGAAGGAAGCCATGTGAAGCCCCCACCATGGTCCTTGGCCCCATCCAGCCTCATGCCTCACTTCCTGTCCACGGGGTCCCCTCAGAAGCCAGAAGCAAGGGCCTCATTGAGACCATGTGTGCTGGGTGGCCTCAGGGTTCTGTGCAGAGGGTGGAGAGTGGGGATAGGGGAAACGCTGTGCAGCACACATGCTATTGTCTGAAACAGAAAAGAAAATGGGACACTGGAGATTTTGGAGGTTTCCTGAGGCAGTTTTGTTCCTGCTTTTAACTCCCTACACTCTTCTTTCTAGAAGAAACAGCAGGCAGGCAGGTGAGAAGAAGTGCCGGAGAGTGTGTCCTGCCACTGTGATGCGGGCTTGAAATAGGTGCTGACTGGCTGAGGGAATGCAAGTACTAAGGGGCTCCTGGCTGCGTCTTCATTTTCCGCAAAACCGGAGATCTCCACCTGGTTCCACTCACCCTCCAGCATCAGAAAGACTTACCCCCAAATCAGAAACTTCAACTCCAAATTAGAGCAAGGAAGGCAAATGAACGCACCCCAAGGTTTCCAATACCAAGAGCCAAGAGGGTCCCACAGAATTTGTGTTAATACAAATTGCACACTTCTAAGCGCAATGTATTAGGCTCACTCCTGAAACATTTATTACGTGAATCTTCTCTTTCTCCTCACAAACACTTTTTCCAAATAAGGACGAAAAGGATGCAAGAAGCTGATGAGCTCGTTCTCAGGTTTCTGAGCTGGTTGGTGGCAGAGCTAGGATTCTGATGTATAGGTCTTGCTTTATTTTTTGCACCCCGTCCCTCAACATACACACACTCCAACACTCCCACTCCCTCACACACTTACACATTGTGATCTCCAGCTATCCAAGAATTACAATTTATTTCTAATTTTTACCAAAGCCACTACCACCTAATCACAGAGCAGTTTCCACCATGGGTCCTAGCATATAGGAAGTGCTTAAAAATGTAATCTACTTCCCTTCATTCCTTCTATGTCCAAACTCTCTCAAACACACACTCACACACATATGCACACACATGTGCACACATACACACACATGCATACACATATGTATATACATGCACTCACACATGCACAAACATCCATACACACATATACACATACTCACACATGCATACACATGCACCCTCACACACATGCACACATGCACACACATGCACACACACAGTGGCCTCAAGTTGTGCAAGAATCATATTGCCTTCCCGCTTCCCCTCAAGGAGACCTCCATCTGTCACCAGAGCAAGAGACGGGAAAGACTGTGGTGCCACCTCCACTCTACTCCAGGGTGAGAAGTGAGATGGACCCCCTGCAGCCCGGGCTCTCTCTCTTTCCAAGACACATCTCAGCTGCCTCACTGGATGTTCTTGTTGTCAATGCCTTCTCTACCCTGTGAGGTGGCAAGGTCTGGAATGAAAGAGTCCATAATCCTCATTTCCGAGAATGAATCCTGCTATTTTACTGGGTTAATTCCCATGTGTTAAGATCTCTAGACCAGTCTATTAACCAGGACTAATTAATAGTTATCTGTCTGGACATATCCACCAACTTTGTGGAACTGGAGGGGATAAACCAGCGTCTTCACACCCATGGGCTGAGGAGGGAACTCTTGCTTGGAAGGCCCTTGATCAAGGCACAGGCACATTTAGGATGCAACAGAGCAGGGCTTGCTCTCTCTTTCTCTTCCTCCCTCTTTCCCTGCCTTTCCCGTACTCCCTACTCTCATTGAGGAATCAAAAACAAGGTAAAAGAATATTTAGGCGAAGAAGAAATCAGCACAATGTAAGTGGCTGCCATTTCCTAAGATGCTGCCATTCATGTCATGTGCAATGTTATGGGGGTTTGCATGTAAAGCAACCCCCATTGGGTTGCTCTCAGATATGCGATTTTGCATGTTCATCTCAAAGGTGATGAAACTACAGATCAGAAAATTTCAGTGACCTGTTCAAGAGCTCACAACAGGAATAACAGGAATACATTGCAGGTCTCCAGCTTGAACTGAGGTTTCTCTCTAACTCAGCTTCTCTTTCCACTGCAGTGATAGTGCAGTAAAGTGGATCAGCCCCAAATAAGGAAGGAATAGAGTAGGCTCAACTCTTCAAAGAGCACAGATAGGGACCACAACTAAAAATCTGCTTCTTTAAAATCCAAATTGTCATTCCTTTGGATGAGAAATTGGCTTAACAAAAATTTATGTGGACAATTTTGCTGCTATTGCAGGAAAAATAAATTATAATAATTAAAGTGTCATGGATCAAATATGACAGGGATGATGACAAGAGTTACATTTAGCTACAAATGAAGAACACACGTAATTAGAAGTAAAGTAAGATCAATAAAGGTTATACAAACCCCAGCTGGAAAAAAGACTCTGGTATTGAAAAAAGCAATTAGCAAATGAGCGAGCACATTAATAAGGCAAATATTTATTTTTAGCAGATCCTGGAATCAGTATGCTTCAAAATCAAAAGGGATCTACAGCTGATGATGAAATAAAACTGTGGGCAAACATCTCCAGGGAGGCAGCAGATTTCTTCAACTGGTTTCCAAAATCTGAATATAATGGCATATAAATAGACTCACTTATGAATAAAAATGTAACAATTATGATAGCATTATCAATAATAATACCTACACACTTCGTTGTAAAGCATTTTCACAAAAGAAGCCAGTACGAGCTCAGTTTTAAAAGGTGCTTCCATTCTTCCTTCATTCTTCCTTATCTTTCTTATGGGTCATATTACTTGCACTTTTGGGGGAAGGGGCAGGGGGAGGCAGGGTCTCACTCTGATGCCCAAGCCGGAGCATAGCAGAACTATTTCAGGTCACTGCAAGCTTCACTTCTTGGGTTCAAGCTATTTTCCTGCCTCAGCCTCCCAAGTAGCTGGGATTATAGGCACACACCACAGTACTCGGCTAATTTTTTTGTGTATTTTTATACTGTTGGCTAGGCTGGTCTCAGACTCCTGACTTCAAGTGATCCACCTGCCTCGGCTTCCCAAAGTGCTGGAATTACCAGTGTGAGCCACTGTACCCAGCCATTATTTGCACTTTATGCCAACCTCTCTTAATAAACAAGACAAACAGGGCTCTTACCTTCATAAAGCCAACATTCTAATGTGGGGAGGTAGACTTTAAACACATAATTACATAAGCAATAATTTTGTTTTAAATTATGACAAGCAAAGAAGTGTTGAAATGATAGCCACTAAGGCCAGGAGCAGTGGCTCACACCTGTAATCCCAGCACTTTGAGAGGCCGAGGCGGGTGGATCACGAGGTCAGAAGTTAAAGACCAGTCTGGCCAAGATGATGAAACCCTGCCCCTACTAAAAATACAAAAATCAACTGGGCGTGGTGGCACACACCTGTAATCCCAGCTGCTCAGGAGGCTGAGGCAGAAAATTGCTTGAACCTGGGAGGCAGAGGTTGCAGTGAGATTGCACCCCTGCCCTCCAGCCAGGGCAACTGAGGGAGACTCTGTCTCAAAAAATAAAAAAAGAAAAAAGAAAGAGAGAGAGAGAGAGAGAAGAAAAAAAGAGAGAGAGAGAGAGAGAAAGAAAGAAGAAAGAGAGAGAAAGAAAAAGAGAAGGAAAGAAAGAAAAAAGAAAGAAAGAAAGAAAGAAAGAAAGAAAGAAAGAAAGAAAGAAAGAAAGAAAGAAAGAAAGAAAGAAAGAAAGAAAGAAAGAAAGAAAGAAAGAAAGAAAGAAAGAAAGAAAAGTAAAAAGAAAGAAGGGAGGGAGGGAAGGAAGGAAGGAAGGAAGGAAGAAGGAAGAAGGAAGGGAGAAAGGCAGGAAGGCAGGAAGGGAAGGAAGGAAGGAAGAATAGACACTGAAGAGTCAGTATACACTTTGAAGGTACCCAGGAAGGACCTCTCAAATAAGATCACATTGCATCTCACAGCCAGCTGCTGAAAGATCGTGTGGCCATTTACTGTGGCTTCTGTAACAAAGTATCACAAACTGGGAGGCTTAAGCAACAGAAATGCAATGTTTCACAATTCTTGAGATTAGAACGAAGATCAAGGTGTAGATGGTCCTCTTCTCCTGAGATCCTCCTATTGTCTTCCTTCTATGAGTTTCTATCTCTCTGTCCAAATTTTCTCTTTATATAAGAATGTGGTCATGTAAGATTGGGGACCACTCTAAAGACCTCATCTGAGTTTGATCATCTGGAAACACTCTAATTCCAAATAGTCACATTCATAGGTACAAGGGTTTAGGACTTCCGTATCTTTTGGTAGGACATTATTTAATCTGTAACAATGAGTCACACTTATTATGAAGCAAAGGAACATGAACAGCCACATCCCCAAGGCAAGAGAGAGTTTATAGGCATGTAGACTTTTGAAACAATAGTCCATGCAACAACACTCCTTCAAGAGTATGCATGTCTTGTACGCAGAACTAAGGATCTGGTGGAGGATCTCCAACCTGAATTTAGAGACACTGTCAAGACCATTTGCACTTCAAGACCCTGGACAAGTCTCTTTGTACTCTGAAACTTTCCCTCACTCTCCAGAAAAGAAAATGAATTATGTCCCTCTCCTAGAGATGAAAAATGTAAATGCACTTGAAAGTGCTTGTTAACCCATTCAGTGCTTTACAATATGAGAGAATAAAATGTTGAAGACCTCTATATGATATAATTAATTACAAGCCTGTCTGGTTCATGTTAAGTGTCTG